TAAATCTTGGGCAAGACGACTAATCTTGTAAGTTACCTTCACCTCTTCTTTTTTGGGATGGTTCACCCCTTCAAACATTAGTTGAGCCATACATATTTTAACATTTTTATTTGTTTGCAACAATACGTTCTTTATGGTCTTTTTTATTAAAAATAAAACAATAATTCGTTTATTATTGCTTTTCCCGAAAACGGTTTTTTTATTTAATATAAAACAATAATTCGTTTATTATTCTTTTTCTCGAAAACGGTTCATTTTATTGACAATAAACAAGAGTACCTTTATTTAAGTTTACGATGTGGCTCCCGTCCCGAGGCGGGACTTAAGTTCAGTCCCGATTGACGTCACACACTGTAAATCCGTTTTTATTCCCCGAGATTTTTTAATTTGTGTCAAGCTCGATGGCTTAGATGGTAGGGCGGTCGCTTGTCATGCGAGAGGTACCGGGTTCGATCCCACTAGAAGTTGTCAAACTTTTTTTATTTTTTTTATTTTATAAATTTGTTGTTTCTTTGTTAAAGAGTGTTTTATTTTTATCGTAACATAAATTTGCCCATTTTAGTTGGGTTTTTTGCTCAATGGGGCGGGGGGGGGCCCAATGGGGCGGGGTCGGTTGGGTTGTGTTGTTGAGTTTGGGTTGGTTTGGTTTTATGACGTAACTAAAGTGCCCTTAACATGTATACAGGTACAATTTATTATTATTATTTTATTATAACATAACAAATCTTAAAATTATGACGTCAATCGGGACTGAACTTAAGTCCCGCCTCGGGACGGGAGCCACAGCGTTAAGTTTAAGGTTCACGCTACGCAAATTTAGTTTTTTTAAGTCTTTACATACGGGGTGTTCAAAATTTAAGCATTAAGGTGTAATACTTAGTCCGCCCCTGGTAAACAAAAAAAGCAAAACATTTTTCAAGAACACTACTTTAAGAGGTCCCTACCAGGGTCCATCATATTACATTTTTATTAAATTATATTCAGTACTTTAAAAGTTATTCAAGGAAAAACAATTTGCAGGGGCGTCCTTTCGGGACCCATGTCTCCGTAAGGAGGGCCAGTAGGAAATTTTTTTATAGAAATTTGTCATCTTATTTTTTCATGTTCTATCTGAATCCGAGATATTTCCCACATTTTCCCGGACACCTTGTGTTAACCTAGCGAACCGAAACTATAAACGTAAACGAAACCCTAGACCAAACCAGAAACAATTCAGGCTGAATTATTCAGCAATAATTTTGGCGGGCGGTTCGGGTCTGGACGGCGGGAACTTTAAATGTAAACTGCGAAGTTTTCGAATGTTTCACTTGGTTTACTGTGGTTTCGATTTTTATAAAACTGTGAATATTTATATTTAAAAAAATATTTTTTAATAGTTGATTTTAACAGAAAATATAGACTTTATAGACTTTAGGTAAAAAAATAGACTTTTATAGACTTAAGACAAAAATATAGACAAGTCTTTAAAAAAACTACCTGCTGGGAGCCCTGGAGAACAACTAAACAAAAAACAATTGTCAAATAATCAAAATAGGGGGGTCCAGTACTCACTGACTCCCCCTATTTTTTAGTACGAGCGCCAATGACTTCCAAACGGTATTTTTTCAGTTAATCATTTATTGTTAAAAAAAATTTGTCTCTTATAAAATTTTGATAAAATGATTTGTTTTAGAGATAATTTGTAAAGTATGGGTCAGTGCATATCAAATCAACCAAAGGTTCTTCCCCCACCATCTCCGATTTTGATAATTTTTGGTAAATTTGTTTTACTAAAAATCTCAAAAATCCCATATATGAATTTTTTTCGATAGGTGGCTTTTGTTTTATTGATTTTTGAAAATCACAAAATTCCGATAAATTTGGGTCTTGCAAGTACTTACAAAAATAGCGATATCTCGTAAACTATTAAAAGTAGAAAGGTGAGTGGTAGCTTATTTTAAAGGCCTATTAGATACCTTTTTTTTGATATATCACATGACCTAAATTTTTTCAAAAAAAAAAATTAAATTTTGAAAATTTCATATGGACTGACCCCTACTTTACAAATTATCTCTAAAACAAATCATTTTATCAAAATTTTATAAGATACAAAAAATGTTCAACAATAAATGATTACCTGAAAAAATACCGTTTGGAAGTCATTGGCGCACGTACTAAAAAATAGGGGGAGTCGGTGAGTACTGAACCCCCCTATTTTGTTTATTTGACAATTGTTTTTTGTTTTGTTGGTCTCCAAAAATGTAACTATTTATATTGAAGTAGTGTACCGAATTTAAACTTAATATCTTATCAATTAATCGAATTATTAAAAAAAATCAGTTTTAAATTTCAAACTTTGTCGCCCTGTATATCGAACATGAAGCTCTAAATTGAAAAATGGTATTATGAAAGTCTTATTGTTTTAACTCAAGGAATATATGGTAAACGGATTGACCTCCTTTTCCAGGACACCCTGTATAGACGTTTCCCGATCTATAATACAAATTCTTTCCATAATTGGGCGACAAACAAGAACAACAATTTTTTGATAATATTAATTTTATGACATGAAATAAAAATTAAAAAAAAACTGATGTTTTTTTAAATTTTATTGTAAAAAGTGTTTTTCTAGTTCTGAAAAGCAATTTTATTCGAATTCTATTTATTATATCAAGTTTATAGCTAATTTACAAAATTTAATTATTTTTATGTAAATTTAAGTTTTATTGCAAAAAATCATTTATATAAGATTAGGTTATGTTATTTAAAAACTTAACAAATAAATAATTTCTTTACCCCTCCACTTTATTTCCGACTTATTTCAAACTGATTCCCCCTCACAGCATGTCAGTATCGGTGAGGGGGGGGGGAATCCCAGCTCACTTTATGGTGAGTGAAGCAAAAAGAACGAACACATTTGCAAATTTTACCGATGTGAGCTGAGATTAACTGAGATCTCAGGTGAAAAGAACGCATCTAATATTACGTACATGGTTTAACTATGATGGTTAAAAATAAAAAGTTTGAATGCAAAAAATTAGTACGAAAATAATAATTTAATTTGACTTCTGAATAATATTTTACATTTAAATTTTGTACAAATTGCTTTCGTCGATAGATGAAATAATTTTACAAAGAAAATGTTTTGGACATATGGACATAAAATATGTTTGGCTTCCTCACAGCAAAGCCTATTAATTTTTTTAAATGTGAAATCAAAAAAAAATTATTTTTTTCGTAAAACAAAATATAATGAGCGAAAATTATTTTGTTTATACCAATATAAAGCCTATTTATTTCTGGATTTAATACAAAAAAACAAGGTTTAAGTCAATTATTAAGGTTACAAATAAATCGGAAATTCAAATGTAATGTTTTAAATTGACGATTAAAAAATACTTTCGCGTTCCATAATAAAGTTAAATAACAAAATTATAATTTTATAAATCGATGTGTCAAATAAAACGATAGTTATGTTAATACAGCACCGAATTTGTGTTTATGCGACTCCGGTAGAAGATTCTTACTGAATTAAAATAATAGGAATAATAATTACCTATAATCATTATAATAATAATTATATTAGAGTCGAAAATTCACTTTTTTCTTGATATTAGTGAACGGATATTAAAAAATTTTCAGAAAAATTGACTTTTGCATGTTTTTCGTATTACCTACCCTTTAAATAAAAAATAAAAAAGTTAATTTTTCAAAAAATTTCCCAATTTTTTCGCCGCGCCGGCTCAATTTTTCCGGAAATTTTAAAACCCTAGTTCGGCCCGGGGTTTTTCTGTAAATTACCCGTTGGAAAATTCGTAATTCACCGGTTATATTACTTAATTCATTATTAATTTTTTGAATGTTTATTTGAATTATTTTATATAATCAAAACGAAATATAAAATAATCGAATAATCCACAATTACTTAGTTTGCGAATCATTCATAATCAAATATTTGAATGATCATTCAATTAGTTCAATTCATTCAATTATTGAAATATATCAATTTGGCCCAACACTATTTGTGAATTTTCGCGCCGAACGGGGTAATTTCCGGATTAAAGATATTGTCGGCAACAGACTGTTGTTAGCTCTGACGACAGTTTGATTTTCTTGAAGGGAAGTATTTTATGTTCTTCTATTTTCCAATCTATTTTTGTTGATTTTTTTTATTCAAAAAATCACCAGAAATTGGGTATTTGACGAAAATTTTCACTAAATCACTAAATTGATTTTAAATTCACTAGATCTAGTGAAGTATCACTAGACCTGGCAACCTTGCATCCACCTGTTGAATCTCCAATAAATGGCGCTAGATCCCAAACTCTGCCCACAAAACTAGAAGTTTTGTGACTGCCACACCCATTCTAACTCATGCCCACAAGCAAGGCCCTGATTAGTCACTGCAGAGTTTGACGCGCTCAGTTTAAAAGTGTCGCGGTTGAACTACATAAAATAATAATAATATATTTACTTGCCCAACAGATATACCAATAATAGTACAAAATTACAATAAAATAAAATACCAAACTGTACAACCAAAGCAGCTAGACGTTATATAATTCAAGTAAACATTTTAAGAAAGGCCAACACTGTCTCATTTTAAACTTGTCAACGTTGATTAAATGTCTATTTAACAAAAAGGTTGGTTTCTTTAAGTGCAGATGTATTTTAAGTTGCGGTTTTTCTCTTTAGTTGGATGTCGGTTCAACACAATAATTTTTCAAAATGAAGGGGTAGTTTTTGGAGCGCGATAATTGTGGATGTTTACCTTTTTGATTTGTGAAATAAAATTTATAAATTTATAAATTTTATTTCACAAATCAAAAAGGTAATTATGGGTGCAGAAATTTCCAAGGACCTGTATTATTTGGACTATATTTTGTCCATTTTACTTTTTTTATTTTTAAGGGGATAATTGCCATTTATTAGGTTAAGTTATTAAATAACACATTTTTATACTATTTTATTTTTCTTGGTGAATTCTCAGTATGATAATAATGCATAAAATTTTAACTTACAAAATCTGGAATAATCCTGTGAAATACTGATTTTTGAAAACCAAATCCTTTTTCATGGGTACACAAACACCTAAAATTTTCAGCAGTCCTTGGCACAACATCAGCTCTTAACATCATTGTAATTCTACCCACATCAGTTTTTCCTATTTTAATATCAAAGTACACCTGTGGATTTTTAATTTTTGCTTCTTTTTTATTAGCCTCACTCTTCTAAAAACAATATTTAATTGAACAATAGTATCATTCACCAGATAACCTTTTAACTGCAAAATCATTAATAAATGTTCAAAATTTTCAAAATTAAGATATGGAACTTTTAAGTAAGCCAATTATTAATTTAAAAATATTTACATTGGAATTTGCTTCTGTTTCTTCATTTTCCTCTGTTGTTTCCACTGTATTACTTTTAATTGTTTCACCAGCATGCTGTTGTAACCAAGTATCCTCAGACCAGACAGGCCTGGTGGAACCTTCTTTAATACGCTGGGGTTTAGCCAAATTTACTCTTATGGTTCTGCCAAACAATTCTGAATCATTCTAAAAATGTAAAAATTTAGGTAACTGGTTAAGGGATATACAGTCCCTGGCCAATTTAATAGACTCACTCTTACATTTTCTTTAATTTTGGGTATTTGTAAAATAAATAAATTTCCAAAACACATTTGAACAAAGTGAAATTTTAAAACTAATATTTTTTACAAAAAGGACTTTTTGGGCTTTAAAAATCATTTTTGTAATAAACCTTCATTCCAGATTTTGTCAAAAAAATTTAATAGATTTTGTGTGAGCTTAACTGGAAAAAATTAACAATTTGAAGTCGCAGTATTTTGTTAGAGTTACTGAGATAGAATCTGGAAACACTGCCTTCATTACAACATCTTTAGATATGTATCTATTTACAATCCATAGAATCCAAATATTGATTTCTGGATTATGATTGTTATAGATTAATTAAAGGCTGCTCTATAATTTTTTTAAGTCAGGAATAATTTTCTTCAAATATTGCATTTTATAAAATGTTTAACATTCTCTGTCTGTGCTGCTGTCTAGCATGCTTGCCTGTTTTTTCCTTTCTCCTCTGAAATTTTCCCTGGAACCCTTTAATCTCTTTTTCTGGATCGCATCTCATATCTTGTAACTGAGTCAAGGAGGGACTGTATTACCATTCAAAAATACTACCACCATGTAAATCCACATTAATATAAAATTATATTACCTACTAACCATATTATCAATAGCTGCAGCTGCGTCTTCGGCATTTTCGAATTCAATAAAAGCAAATCCCCTGTGTTTTTCTGTTTCATAGTCTAATGGTATTTGAACATCAACAATATCACCGAAAGGAATAAATGCTGCGTTTAATACTTTTTCGTCTACTTCCTCAGCTAATCCGCCTACATACACTGTCCTTTTTGTGCTAGTTAAGCTCATATTTCATTAGTTTAAGGATTATTTTAAAAACGTTTTACATAACCTTACAAACTTCAATTTGAAATAAAAACAGTATGGCCAAAATCAACAAAATTAAAGATTTTTAAGTTGTTTCAAGAAATTGATCTAGATCTACCTATTTCTGAAAAATTCTACCGATCTACCGATAGACATCAATATTCTACCGAAAATCTAAATCTTGCAATAATCCAAATAAATAAGTTTTTGAGATAAAGTTCATTTATTTTATCTGGACTGCGGCAACGTTGCAAATTTAGGGTTTTGGTTGGTAAATTCAAGTCAAGTTGGTCGCATTGATTAAAACAAACTAATAGGTCAATTGACCATATGCAAGGAATGCGGTCGATGTTGCCAATGGTAAAAAAATAAAATTTCCTATTGGGAACATTCAATTATATTACGTTGGCTACACTGAAATTTTAAATTTCCCGCACAAACTGACATACATTCTAGTAGTTCCCAGAGATAAAGAAGGTAGTTCCAATGTTGTATAATAAATTAAGGTGCTAATTTTAAGTGTGGGAATTATTATTATTTAGTATTATTAAAAAAAAAGATGGAAAATAATTTAGTTTGTGCGGGAAATTCAAATTTTCAATGTAGCCAACGTAACATAATTGAATGTTCCCAATAGGGAATTTTATTGTTTTACCATTGGCAACATCGACCGCATTCCTTGCATATGGTCAATTCTGCGCACATCTGTAAGCATCTATAAGCAAATCTGTAACTTTCTATAAGCTTATAGACAATTTGCAATTCTGCGCTTCCTGTAGCTTACAGAAAATCTTATAGAATCGTAAATATTTACGATCGGGTGTTTCCCAATCGTTGCTAGTTACAGTTTGTTTTTGTTAGGTTATGTAAAGCTATTTTAAAGATTAAAAACATGAATATTTTTAATAATGTCAATGTGGATATGATTATGGTAATATTTATCAATTGGGACAAGCAGCCTGGGCCAACTACATTAGAAATAATTTCAATTTTGACTAAATAAAACAATAATTGTATTAATACAAAAACTTTATATTTTTATTTTACATAGGTATGAAAATAAAATAAAATAATACCTATTCTTAAAAAAATAATCTACAGCCTAATCGGCCAAGAAAGAAATAAACAACAAAATAAATAAATATTCTAATTAGTCAAAAATTAATAGGTCAAATATCAAAATTTGGATTTAAAAATTTAATTTTTTTCATTTCAAATCCTAATTGTTCTTCTTTCAGCTTTATATAATTTTCTAAATAGTTTTTAATAGGCTCAAAATGTTTTTTTTTTGATTTTCTGCTCCTTGTTCAAATTTATCCTGCCATGGTTGGCCCAATGGATAATCTCCATCCATTGCATCCAAATATCGTTCAACTGTTGAGGAGTGGTGTTTTTTTATCTTTTTCTCTTTGTTGCTTTTGCGTTACCACTAACAATTGATTGACTTCTTCACTCAAAGCACTAACAATTTTATTCATTATACCTATATTATATGTTCTTTTAAATGTAAAATTATCTAACCTTATTTTATTCCTCAACCAGTTTAAATTTCTTACTTTTTGTATTATATTATATGCTGATACATAAATGAAAACCGATAAACTGTGGATAAACCAAATAGTACATATAAAAATATAGGTTATTTTGATCGTAAGTAAATAGGCGTGAAGTTGCAGTAGTTCGTTTATACTACTTTAAATTAGACATTTACAGATAACATCCCAGAATTGCCACTTTTACGATTCTATAAGCATTATAGTTACAGATCATCGTAAGCTATAGATTTACGAATTTACAGAAATTTTACGAGAGAACCCAGAATTGACCTATAATAGGTCAATTCTGCGCACATCTGTAAGCATCTATAAGCAAATCTGTAACTTTCTATAAGCTTATAGACAATTTGCAATTCTGCGCTTCCTGTAGCTTACAGAAAATCTAATAGAATCGTAAATATTTACGATCGGGTGTTTTCCAATCGTTGCTAGTTAACAGAAGGTTTTTGTTAGGTTATGTCAAGCTATTTTAAAAATTAAAAACATGAATATTTTTAATTATGTCAATGTGGATATGATAATGGTAATATTTATCAATTGGGACAAGCAGCCTGGGCCAACTACATAAGAAATAATTTTAATTTTGACTAAATAAAACAATAATTGTATTAATACAAAGAATTATTGTATTAATACAAAAACTTTATATTTCTATTTTACATATAAAAATAAAATAAAATATAATTATAAAAAAATAAACCACAGCCTACTCGGCCAAAAAAGAAATAAACACAAATTAAATAAATATTCTAATTAGTCAAAAATTAATGGGACAAATATCAAAATTTGGATTTAAAAATTTAATTTTTTTCATTTCAGATCCTAATTGTTCTTCTTTATATAATTTTCTAAATAGTTTTGAATAAGCTCAAAATGTTTTTTTTTCTGCTCCTTGTTCAAATTTATTATGTTCCTGCTATCTTTGGCCCAATGCATAATCTTCATCCATTGCATCCATATATAGTTCAACAGTTGAGGAGTGGTGTTTTTTTTATCTTTTTCTCTTTGTTGCTTTTGCGTTACCACTAACCATTGATTGACTTCTTCACTCAACGCACTAACAATTTTATTCATTATATTATATCGACCCATGCCACGAAGACTATTGTAACTCAGTTTTGATTGTAGACTGGAGTAACTCAACTTAATATAGTTTTCGCCTGTAGGAATGTGGATTATTACACTTACTATACAGGGAAGTTGTTCACTGGTTGCCTATCGTTTCATGTCTGAGTCACTGTAATCTTCCACCAAATAGAGCTTGAAAAAATCTGTTGATGCCATATAGTATGTCAAAACCCACGTTTTTTGAGTTACTATAGTCTTCGTTGCATGGGTCGATATGTTCTTTTAAATGTAAAATTATCTTACCTCATTTTATTTCTCAACCATTTTAAATTTCTTACTTTTTGTATTATATTATATGCTGGTACATAAATGAAAACCGATAAACTGGATAAACCAAAGAATACATGTAAAAATATAGGTTATGTTTGATCGTAAGTAAATAGGCGTGAAGTTGCAGTAGTTCGTTTATACTACTTTAAATTGGACATTTACAGATAACATCCCAGACTTGCCACTTTTACGATTCTATAAGCATTATAGTTACAGATCATCGTAAGCTATAGATTTACGAATTTACAAAAATTTTACGAGAGAACCCAGAATTGACCTATAAGCTAGTTATGTATAAATTATTGTAGGTTACATTGTGCAGTTGTCAAGTTGAGTTGTCGAAATTCGTAGTTAAAAATGCAATAAATTTGGCTTTGGTGGTGCTTGAATGAGTAAAATCATATAAAATAGTAGTTAAATATAGGTTGCTTTACGGCCCAGAAGAGAAAGTATTCCTAGCGGATAATAATCTTCGCTTTGAAAAGAATTTATATAAAAGAAATTAAAATTTTTTGTGAACGTAAATGTTGTCCAATGATGAATAATGTGAAAATAATGTGTGATGTAATATTTATAAACCCAAATTCGTTACTTTTTTACTCAAAAAATGTCCATAAGGCTATGTACTTTTTCATCCATTGTGGCATTTGGCACAATTTCATCAAAATGAAGTTTTGCCCTCGAAAGGGCTTTTACATTCGAATTCGTTGCTATTATTTTTGGCATAATTATCTTTTTATTTATAATTGACAAGTAAATTATCAATAATAAATATTATTATCCATTTGACAGTGTCAAAGTATTTAATTGGGTACGCCTCGATGCATCGAAACTCAATAGATCGAATCTCGCCAGATCGAAAATTTACATGACCTTCGAAGCTCACCAGATCGAAAATGTGTGGCAACGTCTCTTTTGAAACGTCAAAGGCTTAAGGCTTTGTTCACATGTTTTATACAAAAAACGTATTTTCTTAAATGAGATCTACCTACTTTCGTTCAAACAAGATTTCGGTCAAAGAAAAGTAGTATACATCTGAACCAGAATCTGGCAGATAGGTATGCAATGATATTAAAAATTGTGGTGGAAAAGGTAATCTAATGCTGGTCATTTGGGGATTATTGGGAATGAACGGGCGGATTCTATTGTCAAAGCAGCATCAAACAAAAGTACAGATAAATATAAAATCCCCTTCTCACTGAGAAGTTCTCAGATTTATTTTTAATATCGGAAAATTCATATATAAAATAATAATTATTGGAATAAATTTTGGAAAGTGTTGTCAATGTATAAGGAGAATAACCATACATTCCTTGCAAATAAATCATGGAAAATGCATGGTTTTATAAATAAATATTAATATACTCATATGCATGGTTTTATAAATAAATATTAATATACTCATATTGTGAGTTACGTGTAAGGGGCAATTCATTAATTACGTAAGGGTCCCGATGTGGGAGGGGGGGGTTCTCAAAATCTCTCCATACCCTTATCTCGGGGGAGGGGGGCTAAAAGCCATTCTTATCATTTTCTAAAACCAGATAAAATCTTACGTAAGAAGGGGGAGGGGGAGTCCGAAAAATCTTATGTGATCTTACCCGGACAACAATCGGGATTTCCTGGTGAAGTCATGATGATATCACAACGTGATTTTTTTTATCACGCTGTGATATCCTGAGTGCATACACATGCTTCATCACAGTGATATCATGTAGAACTCACGGTGTAATATTTGCAAAATTTGCGCATGCGTATGAGCCCTGCGAACTGCGAATTTAATACCTAGTTTGTTATTCACATTCTTGATATTCATACGAACATCATGTCGTGATTTTCACAAATTTTTTTCATACTGATATCATACGGAAGTCACCGCGTAATAAATGAAAATCATACGAACGTCACGTCGTGATTTTCACAAATTTTATTTACATTTAATATTTTCTTGGATGTAAATTAACTAATAATTTTAATCCAAAAAAATATTGAATGTATTTAACCACAAAAACTGTTGATTCAATATATACAGGGTGTTAT